GGGGGGGGTGGGGTGGGGTTGCACCGTGTCACATTCAGGATACCTATCCGACTGTCATGTCGACATTCACGTACTGTTATTCTTATAGAGATATTTTGCTGAATGAGTAACGAGTGAGATATGCCGAGTAGAGTCTCCGCATTTGCACATTTTCATCACCTGAGTTATTAGGTTTGACGTTGTCGACTTAAAAAGGAATCATTTCAAAAAAGGGTATCATGGTCTCTCCAGGACCCCCCTACCCCCTAGCCGACCCCCCTAGCCCCCTAACCCACCCCCCTTCCCCTACATGAAATATGCCTAAAATGTTCAAGTCATGGAATGACTTTATGGAGGTCAATGTTGGTTTCATTATGACCTGAGGCATGTCTGAAACAAAAACGCGGAACTGATCGGCCAAATTTATACCGGAACATTAACATCTGACATCCGCTTCAACCCATACTGTATGCTCTTCGTATGCTAATAATCTCTTCCGCGTATTTCGCATTCAAATGACCAATCTGGCTTATTTAAGGGAAAAAAACCTTAAACGCCCCAGTTCAAACAGCTATCGAAACGGCGAAGTTCACCTAAGACCCCCTTTTTGGAGCCGACAGTGTAAGTGCAGGGAAAACAGAGAAAGCAGAAAACCCTCCCAGCTTACCATTATTAAAAACTATCGCGAGCCTCTGGAAGAGCGGTAAGGCTAATAATGAACATTTTAACAAGAAATTTTGACATGAGGAAATAACGTTATTCTCGTATCAAGCTTAATAACTTAAAGTAGTGTTGAAGAGATCTTGAAGGAAGATTACATCAAAAAGATTTCTTGATAACGCGACACGACAAAATGCGATACTTAGGAGATCCATTTAACTCATTATTTTTCGACACAAGATGATCTTTCACAACCAGTTAAAGAGATTTATTTTGAACGATTATCTGAATGAAAACCACGGGATCTGGGGGAAAAACAAGGAATACTCATCAGTGTTGCAATAATTTGAGTCGGTAACAATTGTGACCCAGCTGCTAAAACCAGGTGTTGCAGAAGTATCGCGGCTTTAACGAATTCGTCGAATCTATTCCGGTTCCCTTCTGCCCCAGATTCGCTGAAGCGAACACTGACCGTAGAGGTCTGAATATTCTTCCACTGAAATGGAAATTAGAGTCGCGCTCTGTTTGTGTAACCGTAATAAGATGGTTCTGCTTTTGTCTAAAACAAATAGAATTAGATGGGAAAAAAATCGTAAAACAGATTAATTTAAGACTGTATCATCATAACTCAAGAAGTCATTCCGTTGTCTTGCTAAGACGAGGTCAAATAATTAACCGTTGAACGCCTTTGGCGTAAAATCTATTTTTGTGGCTATTTGCGCGACCATGCGAAGCGCGGTCACGAAGTAAGAAAGGCAAGAGGCTAATCCGCATTCTTAGTCACGGAATATCGTGATGTATCGTGGCTTCCTTTAACCAAACAAGGAACCTTTTAGTTTCATATCCGCGTTTTGAGCATTTTTATGACGTGATGGGAGCCTCTGGTGACGTGGTTTTTTATAAATGCAGGAAATGGATTGTACTTCAATAAATTTGGTTTTTCATCTTTCATTTTGCAGAGCCTGTGGTGTAATACAGCCTGTTAACTTGGAGATGATGATCAAGGGCTCACTGCTTTTACGAATCCTATTTTTGGTAGTATTTGCCGGATATGCCACAAGTTTAAGGGCTGGAGGGTGAGTCATGATCGATAGATAAGTCACATACGAGTTATAAAGTAGAAATTTGATAACATTAGGATTTCTCCAATCTTCGCGTGTGACTCAACTGTTGTCGAAAACGCAAATAAAGAGGGGCTGAAACAGGATCTTCCGGGTAGAGCTGTTTGTCGCCGAAAGGTCGCGAGGCAGTTCACGCCCCACGGAGTTTATCATAGCATTACCGGTGGTCGATTATCGAACTACGGTGAATGACTCTAATTTCCAGATATTTACTGTCGGTAAAAATGTAATCGTTAGCTGTTGTTTCAGACATCTTATCATGTGAATTCAAGATAGTTTGGTTTTATCATCTGAGTTAAAAATGTAAATTAGCCCACCGCAGAGAGTTTCTAAAGCTAAAGTTTCGAGCGTTAGCCTTCTGTCATTCAATCTGTCGAGGGGCTGAAACTCGAAACGTCAGCTTTAGAAACTATTTACGGTGGTCAATTTACGTCATCAACTCAATTGATAAAACCAAATTATCTTGTTACTCTTCCCCTCCGACGTAGCACCACAGTTTTCGCAAAAAATTACGCCTTTCGTTCATTTGTTTTTCATTTTCGTTGCCTTTTATTCTCTAATTGTTTCATCAAACCTTTTCTTGTATCGTAGCATCTCTGTAAACTATTTGATGCAGTTTGTGTAGAATCGCAGTTGAAAATGTATTTTCAACATTAAATAACGCATCTACCATCTATCTTTTCTGCGTTTGTTTGATTTTGTTTTGCTTTGTGTTGGGTTTTTTTTTTTAACCTGATAGTCGTAACGTGCTGACCAGATGGGTAACGACCTACGTAAGTGTTGGATATTCTAGAGCTGTCAGAACAACAAATGGCCGAACGTGTACAAAGGAGTACTCCTGGGGCTGCTGGAACTGCAGGAGATGTCGGTGAGATTATTTTAACTGTTTGCCTTGTGTAACAGAAGTTTGAAAATATTCAAAACTCTCCTTGACATGCAACATCTGAATAAGAAGAGAATCGAAGACACTTTTTCGTTTAAAATTGTCAGAGGAAATTGATGCTGCTCGTATACTAGTATACAGTAGCTGTATTTCTGTCTGTGGGAGTGTTTTGTTATCTGTGTTTGAGAAAATCACATACTCTCTCTCTCTCTCTCTCTGCCTTGATGTCCGTTCTGTGTCTACCTGCCAGCTTTGTGCCTACGTTTCTCTGGGTCTAGTTTCTAGAAGACGAATCTCCTGATGAGCAGGCTCTACTGCAAAATAAAGAAGAACAAATTTTGCTCGTTTCTCTCACAGAACCCTATACAAAACTGTCATTCGAAGTTTTACAAGGAGCGAGGCAAGACAAAAACCAATCTACTACTGTGCGGTAGGATGGAAAGCAAACGGCGACGAATGCACCATACGTATGTTTTGTATCATTTAATTTCAAAAAGCGATCAATATAGCTTGCTGATGGAAATAAGGAATCAATCGTGCCTTACTTAGGTGTAAATGACTGCGATTTTTTTAAAGCAGGAAAAAACTAAAGGTATACGTGTTTAGCAATGAAGGACAGCAGTGTTTAATTATCCTTCTAACTCCCAGAAGTGATTAACATGAAATTTCTCCTTATTCCATCCAAACATTATCCAGCAGACAGGTCATGAGAATACTCAAACTTATCAAGTAGGAGTTAATATCTTGATCTAACACCAAATTCTCGAAACTGATTTATAAGGGAGTGTCTGGTGGCTAGTAGGGAGAATTGACAATCAGATCTTGAGGGTCAAAGGGTTATGAATACCCTTTTGAAATAAGAATACCCGATAAAGCAATAACATAACCAATACACTGACTTTGGTAATTTGTTGTGAAAATAGAAATATGACGAGTCCTACTTCTTATCACACACAGCAAAGCATCCATGCAATTAAACTACATTTGTTTCTTTTTTTCTCGTTTTAGCAATTTGCACTGGTGGATGTCAGAACGGAGGAAGATGCATCAGTCCAGAACTATGTCAGTGCACCTCTGGATGGCAGGGGCCTAAATGTAGATCTGGTGAGAGACCTGGCTTTTTCGGTATTTGATAGTTTGTCAGACAGTTACTTGAAACTCAGGCACGAGTGAATCGGAAAAAAGGTGTGGGGCGCATGCGCACGTCCGCTTTAGTTTTTGCACTCTTGCTTGGCCATGCAAATAGCTTTGCTGTTCCATTCTTTACTGCGAATGCCACAGTAAGTGTTGGACCCAAAGTTGACAATTTATTCTTTATCGTGTGGTTTCATTTGGTATTGAAACGAATTTGGGTATACGCCTTTTTCCTTGTATCAACAGATGTAAACGAGTGCGTTACGAACAACGGCGGCTGTCAGCATCACTGTGACAATACTGCAGGAAGCTATAGCTGTTTTTGTGATCCGGGATACAATACTTCTGGACGTCAATGTCCTGGTAGGTAACCTCTCCTTTTGGTAGTGCCCAGTCTTAATGTCACTCGGCATGTAGCTCCTTTCTGTAGAAGCTATATTTTGATCATACATTGCCGTTTCCACATCGAAAATTTACAATAATGAAGATTCTTATTTTGTGAACGATCTTCTTCAGTGCAATGATTGTAAAAGGTGTGGAAAAGAACCTCCAAATAACCTACCCAGGATAATAACAAACCTTCGACAAAACACGCCACGCGCATAGCAAGGTCCTCGACACAAGGAGCCTTCCCAACAGATCGAAACCCAAACAGAACAAAACTCTACTGACAATCAATCCCTGTTATTATGAGGACAATTTTTCTTCAATTTCACTCGGTGATTTGTAAATTCGGAGATTTATCTAATTTTTCTTCGATTTCCCTCAGCTTTTAAACTGTTGTCGAAGGCTGAGATGCTTCGTAATGCGATAAGTTTATTTGTAACGATAAGCTCCATACCTGTGTTTTACCAATGTTAAAGTGATTCCATATTTAAGATCCTCAAAAATTACCCCTGCTTTTCTCTTGAAGACATTGATGAATGCAGTGGACCAAACAAATGTCAGCAAAAGTGTGTCAATAAGCCTGGGAACTACTCGTGTGACTGTCACGTGGGATATCGACTTAACAATAACTCAATAACTTGCTCAGGTGCGTTAACTATACCATATCACTCTTGTGTCATAGATGCAGTGGATCCAGTAGTTGTGCAGAACTGAACTTAATCGCGGTTAGCCTGATGGCAATGATATCATTTGTAGGTTTATTAGCTTCTCTGTTCAACTTCTTATCTATTCACGCCAAATTCCTTGAGTCAGTAAATCACGTTTCACCTACAAATAACAAGACATCATTTAAAATTCAAATATTGGTCCATATTATAGACATAGATGAATGTCCACAGTCTTTATGCCAGTACAAATGTAATAACACTGAAGGGAGTTTCGTATGCACCTGCCCTAGAGGATATCTGCTGACCACTAATAAGAGGGACTGTGCAGGTAAGATAACAAATATTGTTTGAAAGCTAAAGCTTCAGTATTCTAATCACCTCGCACATCTCGAATAATCTGTACCAGGTATTAATAAACATGCCATGATTGGAACACAAAGTGAATAAGGAAGAAGCCTTGGTCGTTCCAGACCTCCCTCTTTGTTTCGCTCTGTCGTGTCATGTCCACAAACTGGAAGCCTGGAACAGGCTTCCTCGCTCGAATCTTTTTGGGCTGTAGCAAAGAAAAGTTGTAAAATAATCTTCAGAGGGTTACATGAAGAGTTTAAGCTTAAATATTTTTCTCTGCAATGATTATTCCTCGCCGTGACACGCCGGATAAATGTAAACTGGTTTGAATTTGTGTGACGATCGCAGCGATAAAATTTAGGGCAGCGCCTTTTGAATTTTTTTCCTTTTTCGATTCTCTAAGATCATGATGAATGCATTACTGGACATCACACCTGTCATCAGCGTTGTGTCAATCATCCTGGAGGTTACAGCTGCGCATGCAAAATGGGCTTTACTCTCAGTAAAGATAACCACTCATGTTCAGGTGAGAGGAATATCTTTTAAAGGTATAACGTTGTGGAGATAGAGTGAGAGAGTTGGTAAACTTGTAGGTCTGGTCGCTTGATGAAAAAATTAAAAAAACCCATCTTTTTTTCAGATGTCGACGAATGCAAGTTAAGGTTTGCTGGTTGTGCATACCAGTGTAACAACACCATAGGCAGCTTCCAGTGTATTTGTCCAAGTGGATATGTTTTGAACGCTGATAACCGAAGTTGTTCAGGTACGTTGGGATCTTATGTTCAGACACTCACAATGGATTTAGGGCGAGTAGCTGGATATGGAAATGGGTAATCAGATTTTTCCTTTATCCCACGCGCATGACAAAACCTCTACTACCTCCCTTCAGAAAAAGGACGGTTACACATAACTGAATTTGTCACCAAGAATTATCACCGAGATTTTCTGATCTCAACTTATGCTCCCACGGGAGTTCTATGTGTTAATTGTTATGATGATTGATCATTCACTTGCAGATCGCAATGAGTGCGAAGGTCAGCACAATTGCGGTCAGATTTGTGGGAACACGCCAGGAAGCTATTACTGTACCTGCAGACCAGGGTATTATCTAAGTAGCGATTTACGGACATGCAAAGGTAACATGCCAGTTAGTATACATGCAGAGAAAAAATTCACTTCACTGTGTCGATACTTATTGACCTACAATACTTTTTCTGTTCAGTCAAACGCTCTATATATTTTTCCGAAAGGCTTTACAGCCTCAGAACAATTGATAAGTTGAAGACGTATATATTAGGGAAGATAGTGAAGAATTAAATAACAGCAAAGAACGTAACATTTGTGGCTAAGGTTACTTCATTCCTTCTCTATTTTAAAAATGAATTAAGAGAAGCCGATAAGCTTTTATATTTTTGAATAATCGATAGGAAACGTACTTACAGTCCGTCAACACATTAAGATGCCCTAAAACCTGTTGACAGCCTAGCCTTTTCTAATCCTCTAACTAATTTCCTTGTAACGAAAAAGCACGTGATACTCAAACAGCTTATTACGGCAACTTTGTCATCAGGGTACCCATGTGCATCAATATCAAGGCCAGCCAAAGGATACATGAATTGCTCTGGGAAAACTGTGGATAGCATTTGTCAGTTTACATGTCAGCCTGGGTACGAACTTACAGGATCTCCAGTGCGCATGTGCTTGGCCAATGGCAAATGGAGTGGTACTCGCGCTGCTTGTAAAGGTGAGCATGTTGAAGATAAAGCAGCGATACAAATAAAAGACATTCTATAAAAATATATTCAAGCGTCTTGGTAACAGTAACAACAACTTCAACAACAAACCGATGATGGTCACATACGGAAATTCCAAAAGTATCTGAATTTCAAAAACAAGTTCCTATTTCTCAGAATTATGGACAAGCCGTCTCAAAAAAAAAAAAAAACATAAGGACAAAACAAAGAAATTTGATAGCATAGAAATAGACGAGGAGATGGGTAACGATAAACAAAATGCATCGCGGCCAGACAACGTTCAAATGGAACCCTAAACAATCAGTATAAGTGACGTTTCATTTTGATAGTTACAAGAATTCTTATGAATAGGGAAAGAAATGTTTTTCTTTTCGATAACAACGTGTCTGTGGTGACTTTCATTCTTCTTGACTCACTCGAGGGGAAGTCATGAGAAACAGTGGTAGCCTGATGTGCAACTCACCTCAGGACGTGGTCAGTTTATAAATGCTTCTTCCATTTTCACTCATTGAATTTTATTTTTCTTTTGCTAGTTAAAATGTGCGATAAACCAGCTCCACCAGCCAATGGCTTTGTTCAAATTCCTTGTTCAACCACTTACAAGGGAAAATGTTCTTTTGGGTGCCGTTCCGGATTTTTCCTGTATGGAAGTAAAACAGTCTCTTGCACTGAGGATTCCACATGGTTTCCGATCCCTGGGAAATGTGAAGGTAAGGAGAGAAACAGGAGTGAAGAAAGATTGTCATGAAGTCAAAACAAGGTTAAATCGAACTTTTCCTAATGTAGGAGTTAAAGTCCTCAGAGTAACCGTTGATATGAAATGTCTATAGTTTAAAAACGATTGATTTTAGAAATATATCCTTTTCTTTTTCATCTCATACTATTTCTATCTTAGCATTTATCATCATCATCATTATTTTTTTCTCCATGTATAAGTTGAACCATTGGTCTTTTCTTGGTTTGCAGCAATAACTGTCTGTCATCCCAATCCTTGTTTTCATGGAGGGAAATGCAATCCCATTAACCGTACACATTTTTGGTGTAACTGCACGAACACAGCATACACAGGTGACAGGTGCCATGAAGGTATTTTCCACCAACCGACATATCCTCGGCTTCAACGGGGAAGCAGTGTAAACATCACTTTTAAACTTTCTCCGCCGGATAAACAGCTTACCGTTACACCGAGTACATCGGGATTAGAATTCGTACCTCGTAGTTTGGTGATCCACCCAGAGCAGTTGGCGGAAGGAAAATTGTATCACGCAAACATGGCTATAAAAGCTCTTCTGCCAGGCATGCATCTTACCACGTACACTTTGTCTGGTGTTGGAGCCCTTTCATACCAGGCGTTGCCACCTGATATTGTAGTTGTCGTTGAGAATGAAACATCTTGTAATGATGGTTTACTGAGCACCCTTCCTTTGGGATGCTATAAGACCAGACTTCTCCGATGTCCAGATAGTGACAATTTTCTATACGCTAGATCAACCGATCCATGGAAACAAGCCCAAGGAACAGTTAGTACTGAAGGAGTTGCTACTCTCATTTCCGTCAATAATCTCACTTTACCGTTGGGGATTAGAGGAACAGCGCTTGAGAAATTAAATCTCTCACATTACTCAGTCTCATCAGACAACATGTTATGCAAAGCTCAACCACCAATGGACGTGCAGTGCCTCCCTTCAGAAATCGTAGCATCTGTATTCCTGCAATCCTTAACAACCAGCTTTCCTCGCTGGTTACGCTTGATTCCTACAAAAACACTATCGAGCCTTGAGCCAAACGAAGCAATCACTTACTTATGGAGCGGACTTCAACTTAAGGGGATATTGAAAGGACTGGGACTTTTCGTGAACGATCGCTCCTTTTACTCAGCCCTTTTGTATTCAGGGTCCTTATCAGTTGAGGTAAACAATATGAGTGTGGTACTTCCAAAGTACGATGGTAAAAACAAACACATGGTTGTTACAGATATTTGTTCAAATTCATGGCCTGCTGATGCACTCGTTATCTTCAACCCATTGTCTTATAAAGCTTTACAAGCCATGCCAGTTTATAAGCAACTTGAATCACGGGGCTGGCAAGTAACCGTGATGGCTTTACAGTTTTCAAAAGTTGGTGCCCTCAACTATTCTGTATTTACGAGAAAACGAGGAAACAAGCTTATCCCAGGAAGTCTGGGATTCTATGGAAGAGTTGCAAAGACCATAAATGGATCTCATCCGGTTGGTTCCTTGGGTGTGCGTTTGGTGGGAAATGCAATCTTTGGAATATCGAATATCGATGAGGTAAGTGAAACACCTGTTCTCTAATACGCTTTCAATCAAGCCATGGTGGTACATCCAAAGCACGTTCGTGAAATAAAAAACTATTTCTCTCTTAGGTATGGAAAGACAATCTATTCTCTTGGAGGGCTGGGATTAACGGAGAAGTGACGGCAGAAATGATTCTATTCTTACTGGAGCAAAAGGTGTCAGTGGATCTGCGGCTACAGCAAAGTTCTGGAATTGTGGAGTTTAAAGGTTAGTTTGCATTGCCTGTGGCCTTAAGTGTCGACTTTAAAAACGTTGCTACATAAAGGTTAGTGAGATCTCTACCATTTATAGGGCGTCTCTTTAAAGCAAGAATATAAAAGGGGTTAGGGATCAGTTTGTAATCTTGCGCACGTTAGATAAATTTGATTGTATCCAAATTTCAATTTTTGTCTTTTGTCAACTGCTAACCATGCCTATTAATTGTATCGCAAGAAAGTCCCCGCTAAGGCCTATTGATGCCGTTCGAAGTGTTCAGTTCCAAGTGACATTAAGCCAACGAACGTTATCCACAGCATTCTGACAATGTACGTCACAACTAATTCCAACGTGCAGATCCTTCGTCTCTTTGAGTCACACGTAATCCACCAAATTTTGCGGTTTGAAAATAGAAATACGCTCGTTTCTTTTTTACTACCAGAATCTCCAAGCAACAAATCTTGCAAGGCTACAGACACATATGAATTGTCCCTGAATGGATTTTTGGAAAAAGATCCTTTCGAGTCTACCCTTCTTGGCGCCTTCATTGAAAGCAAAAACAGCAAAGTGTCATTGTACGCGAATTCTCAGCGTCTTATCAACTCCTCTACAAAAGAGCCCAGTGAATCCTCTGCCATCCAGTTGGAATTTTCACTAACTGGCATTGTAAAATTTGGACCTTTGAGATTTCCTAACATGTCTTTGAGTATTGAGACTTCCTCAGAAGAATTGAAAAAGTGTCATGATCCAGGCAATATTACGGATTCTGGGTTAATCATTTCCGCTTCTTTTAACCAAGGGGCGGTTCTGGGGAGGTTCTTTTCTTCTCTTGATTCGGATTCTCTGCACATTTTCCTACCATCAAATAGCCAGAACAGTTCTGAAAGTGTCCTTGAGACCAGCTTGGCTTTCCTGGGTGATTCGTTTAAGACTCGGGTAAAGATATCAAAGCAATCCTTAAATTTCGAGAAGGAGATCAGTTTGTTCGACAATTATCGACTGTCCATCAATGGCTCGAGTCAATTGCAGTCATGGGATTTCCTGAGTTTGAGGGTCAGCGGAACTTTCGGTAAACCTGACGTTAACAGTGATCAAAAAGCACTCGAGGATGCAATCAAAGAAATGATAAGTGATTACATTAAGATTATTGCTGAAACTACCATCAAACGGCTAAAAGTTTTGCAAGGTATGAGGGACAAAATGAATACAAGGGTAAGCAGAAGCTCATTAAGACTTGCCCAGGCTGAGAATAATACTCATTCAGCCGTTGAGCAATATCTAATAGCCTTGAAAGCCAAAAATGCCGCCATGAAGGAGGTACGAAGGGCAGAAAAGGTTCTGACCAACAGCACTGATGAACTTAACGAACTCAAAGAATCTCTTGAGCGTTTGTGTACAATTATAGAATGTCCCTATAGTTGTGTTAACGGTACAGCTTGTAGTACCTGTTATGAAGATCTTATCAGCAGGGAGCAAGGAGTCTGTCCCGCAATTTGTCACAAACTCCGGCAGGACCGACTTACTCCATTTTGGAAGACATCAACCTGTGTAAAAGAGGATTGTGACTTTTCCGGTGGTGACCTTTTGTCTCCTATAGCTTGTAGCTTTGAAAAAATTGGAAAACGAGTCCTTAAACCAGCGATAACAATGGGAGGTACAGCTCTTTTAACATCCATGGGTGTCCCACCAGTAGCTGCATATGCTATTTCAAGTGGTGTAACAAATGCTGCATTTGAATACGAAGAATCGAAAGATCCAGAGAAAGCGGCAGAAACTGGTGTCAAATCAGGAGTAGAAGGAGCGGTGGGGTCGGAAGTAGGTAATACCTTAGGCCTGACCAACTCGGACCCAGATGGAAGTAGTGCCTTGTGGATAGGTTTAGCAACCGGGATACATGAGGCTTCGCAACAATGCAATAGTGGGGGTTCGTGGGACTGCGAATTGGAACCTTATTCCTGTCCCGAGGAATTATTTAATTATAGGTACATCAACATACCGTTCCAATGCGAGACTTCGTGTGAGGTGAACGTCGTAAGAGAAACGATCGCCACTCCGTGCTGCCGAGAGGTGAACTGTGCATCACGAATAAAAGATTTAGAATGCCAGAAAAGGAATGCGTTTTGTCGTATGACAAGGCAAAAGGCCATGTTGAAGTTGAATTCCGCAAAAAAGAATATTTTGAAACCTCTTATGGAGTTACAGCAAGCAAAGGAAGTATTCAACATTGCTCATATTGAGCTTGTAAAACGTAAACTTGAGTTGGAAGCTGCATCTGGTGAGCGTGACACTCTTCGAAGAGCACACAGTGCTATTTTAAAAGGGGCTGACATTTTGTTCTTATCGAATGAAAAGAGTCGTGCTTTCATTCAAGACGCAATTGCGTTAACTCAGCTCTGGAACAGCACTAATGAAACTTGCCCTTTAGACATAAACGAAATTTCGTTCGATGTGACCTTGTCGTCTCCCTCTGAAACTGTAATACCAGTGCTGTTCAAAATAGCCTCCGCGAGCAAAGAGAAAAACATCTATTCCATGATTGACTTTGTAGCCCTGAATGATTCTCTCCAGCGAACGGCTAAGCAAATCGTGAATGAACTTTTTGGCAATGTGAATGTCATTCTGCGGTCTGGACATCCATTAAATCAGCTAAAAAATCCGAAGGGCAATGGAAGAAGAAGGCGCGCCATTGACGAACCGGGCTCTGACGTGACGAAATTAGTGGAATACAAGAGAAAATGTGCTTTGGTAACCAATTACAACCGTGCCCTGAGTGACATCATAGGAACTCTATATAATATTTCCAGAAAATCTTTACGTTCCCTTAATAATGTAAAAAACCTCAATTCGGAAAAATATGCAGAATTCCGAAATCCTTCCCTGAATTTGACTCAAGCTGCTGAGTTCGGGCTCTCTGAAAAGGATATTGATGACTCCATTAATGCGGTGGAATCTGACAAAGAGGTGAAGAACGCAGCAAGTTTAATAAAGATTAGAAATGCGACTAACCACAGGAAAGTGCAAACAGCAGTAGATATGGTGTTTAGAGACTGGGAAGCAAGTATGGAGACTGTGTTCAACCGCACATCACTAGAATGTAGCGGTTTCATAGACTGTATGGAGGACTTTGTTGAAAACTTTCTCTTCCTCTACCAAGGGATCGATCTTCCTGAAGCAATTCTTCTGCGGCAACAAATTGCAATCCTCGGCCAAGAAGTTAAAAGTCTTCTTTCTTACGAAGATCTGTCAGTGTCTGAAGCGGCGAATAAAGCCTCAAATATTCTGAAAAGGCTGAAAGATACTCGAGATGCGAACGTCTTCTGTGCTGTCGCTCCTAATATAACTCAACATCCAGTGCCAATAAAGAATTTAAAGATAGGGCAAGCGCTCGAGCTGTCTTGCAAAGCGACTGGAGACCCTGCGCCAACTTATCGCTGGAGAAAAAATGGCGAGATCATTCCAGGAAGAAAAACAAATACGTTTCGCATCGAGAAAGTGGCAAAAGCCGACGATGGTAACTACACTTGTGAGGCTTATAATCACTTAAGTGTGGAACCATCAACTCCCTCTCACATAGTTATCCACCCACCTCCTGCTCTGGTGTACCAGCCTCCTAGGAACAAGAACGTACCACTGAACACTGGCTTCTTTATGAAGTGTACAGCAACTAGCGTGTCAAAGCCTCTTCGTTATCAATGGATTTACAAGCCTTTTGGTGGAGAAAATTATACTTTGGTTCCCAATGCCACTTTCTCTGTATTGAACTTTCGCTCCGTGGAGAAAAACAAAGAAGGCTTTTACAAGTGTAACGCGTCCAATCCATTTGATTACACGATATCTCACAATATCCGACTTCGAATTCTCGGCTTTTCTTTGGTTGTGCCTTCGCTTGGATTGTCTCTCCAGATTTCCGGTGAGAAAAAACACCTTGAAGAGGCCTATAATGAAAGTATCAGCGTAATCGGTGATAACATCAAATTTCGACAGGATGTGGAATCGGGCTTTCATCAAATCGTAAGCAACCTGGTTGACCTTCCTTCTGATGCAGTTCAGGATCTTTCAGTAGAAGACTGCCAAATGATCTCGCAAAGAAGCGGCAATATCTCCTGTAAGGTTGCCTTTAGATTGCGTAGCTTCAACATGACGGAACCCAAGACCATGAACAAAACCGCGTCAGAAAACGCCGTTAGTGTTATGGATTCCGCGCAGCAGTTAGAAAGAGCTTTGGCCAAGCTGGTGAACGAGTCTGTTATAAGTGGAATTACTTCAGACGCCAACAGTGTTAGGTTAAAGCTAGACCCGACTTCATGGAGTGTTGGAAAATACATCTCTCTCTGCCCTATTGGTACAGTACTCTATGGAAACAATTTCATTTGCGGTGAGTAACCTTTAATTGTTTTTAGTATATAGGACTCTATCGGAGAACGCGACATCCTTTATGCTGGTAACCATTTGCAATGAATACACCATAATGAATACATTTTAACAGTTCCTATGCATCAACGTGACCAGCAGACGCGCTGAGATCCGAATAAATAGGTTCAAGATAGGGCCTGAGATATTATGGCGTGGGTCTGTTATCAAATGCGTGACAGTCGTGTGCTGAAGTGATCTTCTAAAAGTTGAAATCTTAATTTAAGATTTCAGATTTTGACACGATTTCTTACTATTTTCACTTGTATTCCATTTAGTCAACTGTCCACCTGGAGCATATGGGGACATAAACGGGACGTTACCCGCTTGTTTCCCGTGTCCCGTGGGAACATATCAGCCCGATGAAGGACAAACGTCATGCGTGCCTTGTCCCCCTGGTTTTACTTCCGGTAGTATAGGATTGGAGGATATTTCTTCGTGCCAAGGTGAGAGGCTGCATTCTTAAATTAAGGGATCCATCGGGTATTGGCTTAGGATAATGACATCTAGACTTGATTTCTTCGGGGTATACATAAAGAAACATCTAGTTTTTCTATTGAATTAATCACAGTAAGCAAAGACAAAGGAAGGTAGAACACGAATTAGCACTATAAATGTGAAAGCTACTTCTAAAACGATTATTATGAGAAACGACATAGGAACTTTTAAAGTGGTTTTAAGTAATTCTCGCTCTTAGAGCCCCTCACTTCTCTCAGTTTTCAAGACTTTCGTGCTAACATCCTGCTGGTAAAAGAAGAAGAGGTTCCCACAAAAAGAGGACGAAAATGAGGGAGAATGCTCTGTCGCTTTGACTTGCTCACTTTTTTCATTCGCCACCACTAATTCAGATCCTAGAACAGCCTTAGGAAAACAAATCCTAATTTCGTTCGTATTCGTGTGTTTATTTGCTGTTACTGCTGTTAAGAAGCGACGACTTCTCTGTTAAACAGATCTGACACTAGACACAACCACACCAGGAGCTAGGACATCCCAGTTGTCAAATGTCTCCACAACTTTATCAAGACCATCTCCCACTGCCTCTTTGACGACCCATGAAGATGAAATTAGTAGTGAGGAGCCCAAGACACTGAATGTTAGGAGTTACCACGATGTTTCCTTCAAATGGAAAATAGCCTTTGGAGTTTGTTTGGCTGTAACCATCATATTACTGGCAGGTAAGCTGAGTAACTTTCATTACTTCTAAAGGAACGGCTTTGAGCATCTCGGAAATGGCCTTTTAAGACTAAATCACTTAACCTGTAAAAAGTAACATTCTAGAATCTTTCTTCGCTTGTTTGATTCCAAAGGAATGCTGCTCTATGGCGTGAACTACCGCGTCAAGAAAATCAGAAGATTCGGATTATCAAACAATGATTCCACTAAGAAATCAAAGAGTGGACACACATTTCAGAATCCCGTCTACGACGATACTGAAGTACATGGACAAGCATACACCCAGAGTAACGTCACTTACGAGCTGACTGAGCCTCCGGCTAAGAAGAAAATGGTAGCAATAGCTGAAAATGACAAGCATACGCCCCAGAATCCTTTGTGCAGTGTACCAGAAGCTGATAATCAAGATCCACTGGAATGTGGCCATGTCAACCCAGCCTACCAGATGACCGGCGATACCGACAGGGAAATGGAAACTTGCAAGAACTCACTTGAAATATTACAATGACTGCTACTGCCAGATATTAAGATAACCTTTGTTACTTTTATCCCGGTTTTTTTTCTTTAAAAGGACTATTAAATATCAAGTATCAATTAAGTCTGTAATATAGCTGTTAACATTTTTCGATTATTTTAACTTTTAAAATACATTAATAAGGAGCAAATCTAAGAAAAAAAATAACTTTCAATTGACAGAGATCAATTCAAACGAAGCCGAGCTGTCTATGAGAGGTCTTCGAAAGAACGTTATACCCATAGAGAATGTGATTTGCATTAGCCTCTTCGCCTCGGAACTTTGCAAAGATGTCGTTTTTCCTTGTCTGCGAAGAGATAATTCTTTTTATGTATTTCTGGCAAACGATGATAAATTTAAGGTGATAAATACGTTTTATACTTTGTTAATGCTGTCTCGTCGTATAGTGGTTTCATGCATTGCTAAGGAAGTAGAAAAATTATGTGCCCAAAATGCACATGAAGGCTAATACTCTTTACAATGGAAAGCTTACAGTCATAAACCAAGAATTAAAGCGCATTGATGCAATTTCATTGCAACTTTTCTTGTGGCATCAACCGCCAACCGCCCCCCCCCCTCCAAGGAAAAACAATTTTGAATTCTCCCCTTGAAATGAAAAGGCACACGGGTTGTTGACATTGAAAATCAATGAAACTTTATTCCATTTGCTAAACTAAAAACGTAGGCGTTGATTTAAACAGGAGACCTTCATTAAAGGAATATCTGAATCAATTTTCAGAGAGAAAACAAGGTAAACGATCTTGAATTAAGACACCTTTGCCTCATATAAACTGACAGGCAACACTCAGTCAGTTATGCAATGTTGCGTTACGCAAAGCTTTATGTAACGCAACGATTGCTACCAAAAACACCTCAGTGATTGTGCAGTTGCAACTTAAATAAGGAAGGTTTTTGATATTTTTATAGAGTGCCATCGTATCTACCTCGTTTAGATTGGTTTATCTACAAGGTTTTTAAAAATTCCGTTCCGTTTCGTTGTCCACTGTTGTCTTCAATCCTGGTCCCATTTATGTATTGTTCTCTGTTGTTTTCCATCCAGGTCCCATTTACGTAAGGTTCTTCGTTGCCTTCCATCCCGTTTCCATTAATGTATCGTTCTCCTTCTACATCAGTGCTGTTTCGGCCAGCTTCATAGTTGAGCCGCTTCTGTAGATCTTGGTATCGTTCGCGTCCAGGACGCTATTAGTAGAAAACAGATTGCAACGATATTTACTTTTAGGACAAAGAAAACAGAGAAAAGGACACTATTCTGGGTTGTCTTTCTTGGGATGACCCGATTTGGATAATTTTGGCTCATTAAGATTACATGTTATTATGAAAGCGTGACCTTTCTACGATGTGTAAGGTTAAATTGAAGAACACGTGAAAGAAGTGAGGTACTCATGTATGGACAGCACGCTCGAGCTACGATACTGTTCAGGAATCTATCTCTGACTCCATGCTGTCGTACAAATTTTCCCTAGTTTACGGGTGTAATCCCCCTCCCCCAGTCATGAAAATAAACAGATAATGGTGAGACTGCCTCAGGAAAAAGGTTGCGTTGAAAGATGAGGAGGAAGAGGAGGGAAGATTACTCAGACTGGCCCCTTTTCCCATTTACCCAACAAAGTATTCGATAATCGTTGCAGCTACTTTTTAATTAGTTTGGGGCGACAAGAACATTGTTGAAAGGTGAATTTGAAATTGAACCAAAATAATACTCTTCTTCCAGTTCTTTCAAGCACAGCACAGGTTATTAGACAACGACTATGAACCAATGAGATAAGAACTTGTAGACTTTTACATTTAAGCCTTCAATGTCTTCAACATCTACCTTCTCCATACAGTATCACCCATGCATCAAACACTGAGCTCACGCGGATAAAATAAATAATTGCTTACTAAAACAGCTTTTAATTGTCAAACAAGTTTTCCTTGTCAGTAACATAGGAAAAATTCAGAGACAGAGTTTGGAGAAGATGCATAATGATTTTAAGATACAAAGGGAATAGCATACCATTTCCAGGTGTATAGCCTTAGCGATGGTACCCGCTCTAGCGACCAGGCTGCTGTACGAGCGAACCCTATACACGTGCCTGTTCCTGTAGGTAAAGGGTCGCAGGTATCGCTGATCAACATAACCAACTCCAATGATAAACACCTTGACGCCATAACGCCTGAACTGCGACGGAAGCCTACTGATGAGGTAGGAGGATCTTGCAGTCTGCTTGCCGCTGACTACCACCACCAAGACCTTTCGGATGAAAGAGAACATCTGCCTCCTTGCGAAGAAATATCGGAGACAAGCTTGTAATCCGAGATCGACTCGCCGACCGACTTGGTTTGGAAAGCGGATGTAGTTCAAGGCTCTGAGTACCAGACCTAACGAGTTGTACTGGTTCAAACGCATGCGCAGATGTGGCCGGCTTCCGTAAGTTGCCACACCAACGTGTGATTGGTACTTACTGATTGTGAAACGACGGGCGATCGACTTGATGAAGGCCTTCTCAAAGTGGAAATTTCTGCGACCGACATAGCGGGAGCCATCGATCAAGAAAGCAATATCAGCAGTAACACCGACGTGAGACACACCTGTTATACATGAAACATGAAATAAGCATCGCTTCATATTGACTCCTTGCTTTATCTCATTGCTTTCAAACATTTCACATCAAAGGAGAAGACTGAAAAAATACACGAGTGAATACTCACTTCCACCGGGTAATTTTGGCCGCACTGGTTTCGGACGCACTGGCCTGATTCGCCCTGAAAGCGAAAAAACACCAAACGATTGTAAAGAACCTACCTTAAAAGATACTCGAGAATGATGGATAAAGTGTAAGTTCACTGTTTTAGTGATGTATCAGCTCTTTTTCTCTTTCTCTATTCTTGTGTTCCCAAAAGTTACTCGGGTTGGTACAAAACAGAACGCACTTACGCCAGTGTCGCCCTTTCGTCCGGAATATTGTGTACGAGTCATAATAATATAAGAATTTCGGTGTAAATCCATTAACGTCCTTTAGAAAATTTTGCAATCTTATTGGCTGCACTACTGGCTATCTATTCTGTATTGGATAGTAAGCATAGTGAGTAGCCTAAAAGTGTGCGATTGTAGAAAAACCAAAATAAGAACGTGATACTGTATCGTTGTTACGTTTTGACCGACTATAAGATTAAACCGATACATTATTCACTCTTAATTTATGCCTGATAGTTGATCATCATTATCAGTGAATTACCATTCATACAATTGATACATCTGCCTACTTAAAACTAACAGTTTTGCTATTATCGTAACGAAAGTCTTCCTTCGAATTTTCAACCTCTAGTTTCTGATCAATTCAAAATAACAAGTATGACAAGCATACTGGTTCAAATCAGCACACAGCTTTAGTTACTTACTGACGCAGTTGCCCCATTTCCTATCCCGATCATAGTTGGGTGTGATAGCGCACCATCTACGGCTGTGGCGAGTTCTTGTGCAGCTGTTGTAACGACGGCCTTTGTAAATGAACGGAAACACACAGCAATGTCGGCTTGTGGTTCGTCTCTTGCAATATCCTGTTTTAAAGAAAGAGAATAACACCAGCTGTATGTCAGTTCTGAATAATATTAAACCTTTTCGCTCTAACATCAGTGTTCATATTCTCCATACTGTTTTCATTCATTTCCGAAGGTGTTGACAAGGAGAATGTGTTGAAAAAATCCATAGCTTCTCTAGTCAGTGATCATTTCCTCCATTCTTGTTACGTCAATGTTTGATTCAGAGGTGATACAGTGAGGCGAAACTACATTCTAATCACTTAGGGATTAAAGGGTTAAAGGGAAAAAAGCAGTTATGATAACCACTTAATTGTAATGGGAAGCCCGAAGAAGGATAGACTAGAGCAAATAAACACACAAACAAACAAAAGAATAACAACAGCAAATTCCTCGTTAAAGCTGTATCACATCATTTGCGACCGTGCTTGAAGCAGCTTCTACACGATATTGTGCAGAGTAGTTAACTTTCATATCAGACAGTAAGGGAGAAATGAATATCAACAAGAGACAAAGAAGGCAAATTTGAACAAGGACTGGTGGTACACACTCCAACAACATTGGCAAAAAAAAAATTCAGATGGACAGACCCTTACGTTATTTTTTTTCCAAATCTACCATTTTCTTATCTTTACCGCATTGGATCGGTGTGCGAGAGATCGTAGGATGAACTCTTGTTAAGGCCGCACCAAAACCTTTTACACCCTAACATCAGTATGCATATTCTCCATACTGTTCTCTATACATTTCCTAAGGTGCTAACAAGGAGAATTTGTTTAACAATCAAGAGCTTCTTTAGTTGGTGATCATTTCTTTTATTCTCATGACCTTCATGTGTGATTCTGGGGTGATATTGTGGGGAGAAATTTCATGTTAGTCACTCTTAGGGTTCAAAGGGTTAATTGTAATTTACTGTCTGTGAACAAGTTTTCAACACGTTAAAACTTACCTCTTACGGAGTAAACATCATTAGCCCAAGGTCCTCCCTTTCCATTCCTACACCTGTTGGATCGTCCATACCTCCTGTATGTCAACTGAGCTCTTCGACTTGTGGCGCACCATCCCTGATGTTGTACAGCGAACACACTGTATCCCCTTCTCATGGCCACCAAAGCGCATTTCGTAATGGCGTCTGCTCTTCTGCGGTAATAACCGTCGAGAATGGAATCTCGACCTTCCGCTGGTGGAACGGCACGTCGACTAGTATCACGGAAACATCCAATTGACTTGGCTGAAGAAGAGAGCATATATATTTAAAATAAATTTTCTTACACAGAGATGGAAGCAGAAGAGCGAACTGTCCCACAAAGAAACTCGCTTACCGCTGACTCCGGTAGTGATTCGTATGGGTGGAGCTGTTGACGACAAAACAAAATGCAAGATCTTTAAGTTTGTGACGCCTACTTAACAATTTACGAAAGGCTTAAGCGCCAACAAGAAAGAAAGACCTTGGATACACTTAGACTGTACATTTAAAAAGTGAAGCATAGCTGAGTTTTGAATAACTTGCGTCTTTCACCAAGAGCCTCTGCAGGCCGTCAAAGACATATAAAGCGTAAGCGTGACTGAGATAAATACGAAAGGTTAGAGATAACTTTTGGGTCGGAGAGTTTGGATCTAAGGCTATACTCGAAAAGAGCTGGTGTCAAAAGAAATTAAATGAAGGCAAACGATGACCGCTTTAGAGAACTTATATAACGTGTTGTCTGAAAATTAATAATTCTCAAACACGAGAAAGAGACAACACTGGACCTCCCAGGACAAAATTACTTGAAGTGCGATAATGAGCATTAAAAACGTCATTTTGTGTGGCAAACAGAGGAGGGAAAGACTCATAATTTATGTTTAAGCCCCTGAAGGGCGATGTGTTAATAAAATTCAAACCAGTAAATGAGCAAGTGAATTTTCTCACATCTTTTTCCTCTGCAATATCCCCAGGCTGTTCCCCTTCGATATCCTCCAAAGGTGATTGGGCACCAGGGCCTTGTCTTTCCACGTCTGGTACACGAATAGTGTCTGCGCCCGCGGTATACAAACGGAAAAACGCAGCAGTGACCTCGAGTAGTTCTGTGACGACATGTTCCTAGAATAAAGAAGTATAGAAAATACAGAAAACCATAGCGAGATTCCAGGCTTTTTCAAATGGTTTGAACTTCAAGTTTCTAAGTTGTTATAGGATTATAAAAAAGCGTATCAGACTACTAAAGTGGTGTAACCCTTTCTAGCATGTCTTGTGAATTTACAAACCAACCTAATTCAACAAACTATCTAAGGAATAAAACACAATAAACGTAAAATTAAGGCGTGTATCTGTTGGTTGTTCTAGATTTTCAAGTGCAGTAAAACAAAATGGTGCATCACGTTTCATGCTTAACCAGTCAACGTTTATTGCCTGAGGGAGACTGGTACTACGCGGTCAAAACAGCAAGTGACACATTGAAGGACATTTGTTTAATTTTTGTTGCATTTGAACTGCGCTTTATGTACTTCAAAGACAAAACAAACCTGTGAATATAATGACCACTTGTGCAAATCAATTACCTGATACTCTGTAAACATCATTGGCCCAAGGCCCCCCCTTGCCATTCCTACACCTGTTGGATTTTCCATATCGAGCGAAAGTTCTATGAGCCTGCGGTCCTGACGCACACCATCCACCGTCCTGAACACCAAACACAGCGTACCGCTGACTAGCAGCAGTCAAGGCGCATAATTTGATGGCATTTCTTCGTAGTTTATAGTTTCCTCTTAAGAGGCGACTTCTTCCGTCCATTTGTGGTATGGCCCGCCGAGCTGTGTCTCTATAGCAACCAATTCTTTGAACTGAAAAGAAAAAAAAACAAAAGAAAAAAAACACGAGGTTTACCCTTAAATAATTAAAAAAACAAGGAGATGGTCATTTTTTTGTCCGTTGATTCAAGTGAAGAAAGATGTTATTCAGTGAATGGCAAAAGCATCACGCATGAAAAGAGAACAAAAAGGTTTCTCTGTCATTCACTGAATAATATCTTCCTTACAAAAATAAATCTCTACCAAAAAATTAAAATACTAGAATGAGCCTTTACCTAGAAATACGAACATTTTGTCGTGAGTTTATGTAAAATTTTATAAAAATAATATTATATATTATATATATATTATATATAATTATTTATTATTATTATTATTATTTATTATTCATATTATTTATTATTATTATAATTATTTATTATTATTGTTTATTATATATATTATTATATATTTTACATATTATATTTCATAAAAATACTAGAATAAGCCTTTACCTAGACATACGAACATTTTGTCGTGAGGTTATGTAAAATTTAAAGGATATAGCTCGTAATCTTCAACAAGTGTTAAATAAAGAAAATAAAGCAACTTACTCCTTATTGAAGGTGTGACCTTTATAGGGCGTACTGCAATCAAAAAGACAGATCAACGTCAAATATTTGTCGCTTCTGATGCATAGCAAGTACAGACTTCCTATGCAGATAAAGACCAAAAAAATTTTTTTTTTCTCCGAGATCGACACAAAGACATCCCTAACCTCCTCGTCCTCCGCAAAATCCCCACAGTTTGTCCACGTCATAGTTTGGAGTGAGGGCGCACCATGGACGGCCTCTGGAGCGCACCCGGGAGCAGCGGTTGTAACGCCTGCCACGGTAAATGAACGGGAACACGCAGCAGTTCTGGCTGGTCGTTCTTGTTCTGCAGGAGCCTGAGACGAATTGAACCGCATAGATTCACTAGTGTACGCTAATCATATCCCGCTTTCTCTAAAATACTTCATGGGCTCATTCTTCGAAACATTAAGGAAATTTATGCCGGCATTTGTCAAGAACAAAACAAAAATGCGTCGAAATGGCCAGCATGTATAAAACTATTGTTACAGATGGGGCGTCTAGATTCTTCAACTTCTTTGTTGATGTGCATAAAAGATAAAAAGGTGAACGTTTCGGAGATTGAATGGTACGGACAGAACAATGTCACGAAATAGTTCCTGCTTCCAAATGGACATTTCTATTTAGGACCATTAGAATTCTCTTAAAAAGCCGTAAATAATGTTTTCTCTGACCTCTCAAGACGTAGACATCATTAGCCCAAGGTCCTCCCTTTCCATTCCTACATCTGTTAGATCTTCCGTATCTCTTGTATGTTAAGTGTCCTGTCCTGGAAGCAGCACACCATCCCCCATGCTGCACTGCGAACACTCTGAAGCCTCGTTTTTGTGCAGCCAGAGCACATTTTCTAATGGCGTACTTCCGTCGACGATAACTTCCTTTAAGAAGACGACTTCTCCCTTCCAGTGGAGATATGGCTCGTCGGCCTGTGTCTCTGAAGCAACCGATGTTCTTTGCTGTAAAAAAAGAAATGGAAAAATGAAGGATAAGATGAAAAATTAAGTCTTTTATACTTTTATACTCCTGCAACTAACTGTCAAAGTGGATCTCAAAGGCGGATACAGAGAATTCATAAAAGGGAGGCCGGAAAATCGCGTCTGGAGAATAGACTCCCTCCACAACAGTAATTTCATAAACATCCATACAAGGTGCTTACAAAATAATTAAAAGTAGAGTGGCGAGTGCGCCCCCTACTTCCGTCTCTCCTACTAAATACACGCTCACAAACCATAGGAAGCACGGACCTCGGTTCCTCAAAATATGGTACTTTCTTTAAATTTCTTTGAACTCGACATGCTCTGTCAGCTTTGCATGTAGCAAACATACAGGCGTGCTTCACACTAAACGGAATAATTTCCATTGCGCAAAAGAATAAGTAACCTAATTACAACAAATATTTTCAGAGGGATACAAACCTCCTAACCCAACGGTGATTCTTACAACTGTTCCTGTAGACACAAATGAAAATAAGACGAATGAATTGCAAGATATTTGCACGAAATAAAGATAGTGAGGTGCACAGAGATGTTCCAAGTACAATTCTTACCTGGCCTTATTGGTCTAACCGGTTTTACAGGTCTAACCGGGCGACGTCCTGAGAAAAGATAAATCAAAAGAATTATGTTCTCGTTTCTTAACACAACTGTTATTGTGAGTAATCTTCACATTGATTTTAAGAAAATTGAACAAAAGCTGTAGCAGAAATCACCCCGACCAATAATGGAGGAAAAGGTCGTTAAAAGCATTAAACCAAACTCTAAAGATATGTTGTGAAGCAAAAAAAATACTTTAAGTGTGAAATGATAAAAACTTCTTGGAGAGCTCTAATCTCTCGAGACCAATAATTTATTTCCTTTAAAAGTCAATTTAATATCCGGGAGAAAGGAAGTATAGCAGAATGTCAGCAAAGAAATATTTTTTGATTCAAAATCAAATTCTCAGTACTTAAAATATAAGAAACGAATGGCAGATAATAAGGAGAACTTAAGTTCTTAGGGGGTAAAAGGATCTTGAACTTACCAGCACAGTTACCCCATTTCTTGTCTCTGTCATAGTTGCCGGTCAGCGAGCACCATGGACGATTGTGATTCTTTTTCGTGCAACTGTTATAACGGCGGCCTTTATAGATGAACGGGAAGCTGCAGCAGTAGCGAGAGGTCGTTCTCTTTCGGCACCTCCCTACGAAAACAAAGCGAGAGCTGTATGAAACAGACCCATAATAGGCGGTATAAGCACTGTTTTGTCTCATCTTACTTTCAATCGAATCGTCCGATCGTCCGGGCGAGAGTAGCCCCGAAAAGGATTGTGAATATTACGAAGCGACAGTCTCTTTGGCCTCACCTTGAATGAAATACACGTCATTGGCCCAAGGTCCTCCTTTCCCGTTTCTACACCGATTGGATCGTCCATACCTCCTGTAAGTCAAGTGAGCTCTTCGACTTGTGGCGCACCATCCCTGATGTTGTACAGCAAAGGCTACATGACCGAGCCTCAAGGCAACCAGAGCGCATTTGTCAATGGCGTCGGCTCTTCTTCGGTAATAATCCCGGAGAAGAATATCTTTGCCGTCTATACCGGGAATAGCTCGACGAGCAGTGTCGCGCCAGCAGCCTCTTGACTTGACTGAAAATACATGTCAACATATTTTTAAGGTCAAAACTTCGCCTTTTGTATTTGTTTACTTAAAAATAAAAACCTGATGAATTTTATAACGATGTCGCAATTATTAAGAATGAATCAAGATGAGTGAATGAAATGTTTCGTTCTAATTTTGTTAGCCCTAACAAGTCTAAACGTTTAAACTTATTACAAATTAACTGACTGATCACTGTCGCCAAACACAATGAAAGCATTACGCGGGAGTATCAGATTTCTCTATTTGTTCTCGGTTTTCACAAAAAGTGGTATTTTAGGAGATAATCTATGATTAGGTTTAAATTATGCTCCAATAACATTTCGTAATAGGTAAGATTGCTACAAAGATGACTGTGTTGATTATCTCATAACGGAATTGTTCATGGTCATTACAATATTCCTTTAGAAATAAGTAAAAAAATTACATACCTCTCACTCCAGTTGTCACCTTTATTGGTTTGGCTGAAAAGATCAATCGTAAGACAATATATTTACCTTTTGTTAAAATTTATACAAATGCAATATAGAGATAAAGGTCAAGATCCAGCTTATGACAATAAGACGCCAAGCTGACAAGGCCATATGTACAGAAATCAGGCAGGCAAGGATAGAAGTCAACTATGAAGACAAACTGTGAGTAACTTAGGACGTAGTGTATGTCTTCCTTCCAGAAGGGCAGACAAACATGAAGCGATTGAAACGAGGACGGATACAGCAAGACACACAGGCAGAGAAATACAAAGCAAAACAACATACAAACTGAAAAAACAGAGAAACAAAGGAACGAAGAAAGAAGGAACAACTACGAGGCAAATTGATCTGACTTACGTCTTGCTCCACCCCTGCAGTACCCCCACAGTTTGTTCGTCGTAAAGTCAGGAGTGATCGCGCACCACTTTTGGCCACGACTGTTTGTAGCACAACCTCTGTATCGACGCCGGCGATACGTGAATGGTACACAGCAGTAGCCAGTTGTAGTGCGAAGACGACATTTTCCTAGTAAGGCAAAATCATATCATAACCGAATTATGAGAAACAAGAAAGGGTTATGAGAGAGTTTATCAGTTATGAAGAAGTCAACAGAAGGTTTTGATAAGCGAGGAACCATCAGGTCCAAAGGCGTGTTAGAAGAAAACTCTACGTAGAATATACTGTAGGAAAATAAACTGAGCCATAACACTAGACAAGACAAGTAATGTGCACCTCGTTAGAGTTTCACAAACCAAAATTAATGTGACTATAACGACAACTCAGAATAAAGAATCAATTGATGACCTGTTAATTACTTATTCCTTACAAACTTTCTATTGCTTTGCTTTTACTCGCTTTGCACGAATGGCGCGGAAAAAATTCCGGACCGTGATCCGTATTGTAAAGGGTGGATTGGTTACGAGCACACGATCAACCAATCACATTCGAGGATTTAAGGTTCCGCTCCGTTGAGATGCTTCATACAAAGACTGTTACGCAGTTTTTACGCAGTTTTTACGCGGTTTTTTTGATAGCTATGCCGTTTAGATGATAAACTTACTAAATGGTAAGAGAAACATAACAAACCTGAGATTCTGTAAACATCATTCGCCCAAGGGCCTCCCTTTCCATTCCTGCACCTGTTTGATCGGCCGTACTTGGCGTAGGTTCTGAAAGCCCGCGGATCAGATGCACACCAGCCGCCATGTTGGACTCCAAACACCCTAAAACCAAATCGAGAGGCAGCCAGGGCACACTTAGCAATGGCTTTCTTTCTTCTCTGGTAATTTCCTTTGACAAGCAGAAGTTTACCGTCCAATGGTTGGATAGCTCGGCGAGATGTATCACGGAAGCAGCCGATTCTTTGGACTGCAAGTGTAAAGATGATATGTCATTAGCCATGACCCATCTGACACATTTTGTAAAGTACTCTTGCTTACTCTTATTTAGCTCATCACACTGAGGAAAGAAAACTAGCATTTCAAAACAAGACGTTCAAGAAGGGTCGGACTTAGTATAGCACCCGTCAATGACATATTTTACAAAAATGTCCGAAAGTCACTCAAACATTTAAGATGAGCAGTAAAAAAACAAAAAAACAAAAAGGTAAACAAAAAACACCAAACAAGGAATACTTACTGCTAATAAATGGAGCGATCTTTATTGCAGGAACTAAAAGAAATAAAACCGGAAAACAAAGTTCATTTTGAGTAGTTTTTTTTCTTTCAATTTGAAGAAATTAGTAAAGTAAAAGAAAAGCGTTCTCGGAGAAGGTGGAAAAACTTTGTAATACTAAGGAGAAACGAAATTTAAGATAACTTGCGCATCGAGTACTGTGGTGTGCTCAATAACTTTAGAAAAAGCTGTACAGTGGGCCTTTTGGTATTTAAGATAATCTTCACCTCCGTGTCCACGACAGTATCCCCACAATTTGTCCACGTCATAATTAGGAGTAATGGCGCACCAGGGCCGTTTTGAGTTGACCCTTGAACAGCTGGTGTACCTTCTACCTTTGTAGACAAACGGGAACACGCATGCGTTGTTGCGTGTTGTTCGCGCACGAGCAGAGCCTAGAGGAATAATATAATTAAATCAGTCATCCGGTTGGCTTGGAAGACAGGAGTAAACTAATGAATGTGTTGTTCGGCGGCGGGTTGTTCGAAAGGCGATTGATCAGCGGTTTCAATCATTTTTCGCATGAGCTGCTACCGATAATGTAATAGGCAGCTGTGCTGAAACCCAACACGAGAACCAGCTCGCAGTTTAACCCTTTACACCCTAACATCAGTATGCATATTCTCCATACTGTTCTCTATACATTTCCAAAGGTGCTGACAAGGAGAATTTGTTTAAAAATCAAGAGCTTCTTTAGTTGGTGATCATTTATTTTATTCTCATGACCTGAATGTTTCATTGAGGGGTGATTTTCTATGGAGAAATTAGATGTGAATCACTCTCAAGGGTTAAAGGGTTAAACAAGACAGCAGTGAGAGGTCTTCTAGGAAGCGGTAGACCAACGGTAACTGGCTTTTAATGAAACGTCTGGGTTAACACTATACTAAGTTGACTCATATCAAACATTTCTCTACTCCCTTGTAAGTATTTTTAGCAACGTAAGGAACTTTACAAATAAGTTCATCTCTCTACAACGCCCTACATCAGCGTAGTTGATTTTAGAGCAAAGCTGATTTCCTTGTTAATGCAGTTGTGTCATGAGTATTACACGCGGTTGTAGCCGTTTTTAGTTACTCTTGAGGGATTCATTTGGAATTAAGATGAAAACATCCCGACGAGGACATGAAACTGGAAATCAAATACGAACCCCAAAGCTCACGGCAAAGCAGTAGAAAAATTAATCAGAAACTATTTGGTTAACTCAAACTGGCAGAAAAGTTCCTGTTACCTTTCAGAACGTAAACAGTGTTTGCCCATGGTCCTCCCTTTCCATTCCTACACCTCTTAGATCTTCCGTATCTTCCATACGTTCGATAGGCGAATTTAGATGAAGCACACCATCCCTGGTGCTGTATTGCAAACACTCTATATCCTCGTCTTTCTGCAGCGACACCGCATTTTTGAATCGAATATCTTCTTCGTCGGTAAGGTCCTTTAAGGAGACGGCTCCTCCCTTCCATAGTTGGAATCGCTCGGCGACCAGTGTCCCTGAAGCAACCGATAGGTATGGCTAGAAGTGGATAAGAATATTTTTTAAGAGTTGGTCGTTCGCAATTCCTTTAATTTTAGTCTCCATCCGTAACTTAACTTTTTTTTTTTGGTTCATACTTGTCCCTTAGGTTTTCGTCTGGCCCAACAAACCTCTTACTCTCAAATAATATTTATGTAATAAATTATATTTGACTTGAAGAGGATAAGCGAAGAATTGATCCACACAGTTTAAGTAAAATAGAGGCTAAGACGTCTATCAAACCCACGGGGAGGGGGGGAGGAGGGCAAATTTGTCCCACTCTGGCTATATTTAGTGTTAAATGGAACTTTAAGTCGAGGGACTCCTTCAGGACTGTAAAAAGTGTCCGTTAGAGAAAGGTAATAACAAAATGTTATATTAACATATTTTTTTTAGACGGAATCAAAGTGAGTTTCAATTAAAAAAAGTGTCCCTGAAGAAAAAGTCTGTATTTCTCAGTAAAACTGGTCTTAACTATTCAGAAAACCGAATTACGACATTAAAGAGATACCTTTCAATCCAATAGTGATTTGAACGACACGGGCTGCAATGAAAAGAAAACAGGTTGAGGGACGAAACAACGGAAGAAAAAACTAATCACAACGTGTCTCGACTGTTTTAAACATCGCGATATGCTACTCTTAAGACTGCGTGAAAACACACAAGTACTCGATCAACTAACCTCTCACGGGCGGAATGATTGGTTTCACTGGTCGAACAGGTTTACGTGCTACAAAAAGATAAGAAAACATTAAAATAAAATCATAGAAATATTATACAGTCAGAACTACAATTCACTTTTTCCGGAAGTGAAAACAAAATTCTTACTGGCACAGTTAGCCCATTTCCTGTCGCGGTCATAGTTAGAAGTTAAAGCACACCATGGACGATTATGGTTTTTTCTCGTACAACTGTTATAGCGACGACCTTTGTAGATAAACGGCAGCGAGCAACAATAACGTTTAGTTGTCTTTGCTCCACAGGATCCTGAAAGATAAAATTATACAATGGTTAATTCATGTCCAATGATACATTACAAGGTTGCACAAGGAGATCAGAAAATATCTAAGAGAAGTAACTCTTTTCGATGGAATACCTAAACGTAAATATTACCGCTCAAATAATTTTTTTCTTAATTTGAAAATAACAAAACAATTACGAATACCCGTAGACCAAACACACCATCAGATGAATGAAAGAAGACGAGAGAATGTGGAACACAAAGTATACTAAGCAAAGGACCATTATCCGTTTCTAATAACTTGCGCAAATTACTTTGAAGGGTACACCATTGAGGTCAGAAAAAAGACGACTCAATTTGCAGTAATTATTGTATCCAACAGTACCCATTACTCACCGTACACTCTGTACACATCATTAGCCCAAGGTCCTCCCTTTCCATTCCTACACCGATTGGATCGTCCGTACCTCCCATACGTCACATGAGCTCTTCGACCCGTAGCGCACCACCCCTGATGTTGGACGGCAAACACCTTGGCTCGGAGCATCAAAGCAACAAGAGCGCATTTCTCAATGGCGGCTTTTCGTGATCGGTAGTAGCCTTTCACTAACGAGTAACGACCGTCCACTCCTGGGATAGCTC